AAGCACCTGACCCCCAGGAGGAGCTGCCATTAGCTACAGGGAACAGTCCTTGTCCCAGACTAGCCCCAGGGAGAGGAAGGGAGCTCAGCACTGGGTTTAACCCCCACGGAGTCATGGCAAAACGAGAGGAGAGACTGCACAAGGACAGGCAGGCACATACAGGACATCCCATGCCCAAGCTGCCCCTCCTGTCAGACCTGAGGGGCTTCTGCTGCTGAGCATGAAGCAAGGAAGAGCTACGCCTGTCTGCCCATACAGGTTTAATGCCACCTTCCTGCCCCCACTGCCCGCAGCAAAGCACTCGAACATCAGTCCCACCACTTCCAAAGCCACCCATAATCTCCACAATGGCTTCACGAGGGGAACAGCCCAGCACTGCAGCACGCCACAGCCACGCCAGCTACTCCTGCCTACCTTGTAGTACTTCCCATAGACATCAGACACCAGCATGATGATGGGGAAGCCCATGAAGGTGACGAGCGAGAGCTTCCAGGAGAGGCTGAACATGAAGAAGATCACCCCTGTGGCCTTCACCATGTTGCGCAGGAAGATGTTGATGTTCTGGGAAACCAGGTCACTCACGATGGTCGTGTCCGATGTCAGGCGGGAGATGACATCCCCTGCAGCAACAAGGGGTTGGGGAAGGGGAGAGCAGGGACATGTCACCACAGCAGGTCACTGCCTAGACATGTCCCGTGTCTGGGGCCAGATGGAGCTCCCCATTCAACCCAGCCCCTCGCTGGGGATACGAAGGGTGGCACATGGAAGGGGGGAGACTCTCCACCACTGTGGATGTGAAGCAAAACAGAGGGGCTTGGATTGCTGCATGCAGGAGGGACGGACATCAAGGATGGCCACAGGACAGCAAAGGGGACTGTGGAAGCATCCTACACCGGCGTGCACGCAGATGCACGGGTGGGGTGTTTGCTGGACCACTGAATGCACCTCCAGACCTGTCGACCCAACCCCAAGTTATACCCAACTGATGTCAGAAGCCCTCCAGCAGCTCAGCAGAGACCGCTGGCACTTTTCCCCACCACCCCAGCAGGACCAGCCAGGGCTGTTCGGGTTTATCTGTGTGCTCTGCAGCCTAGACCTGCGAAGGACATGGGCCCAGCTACTAAGGAGTGAAGCTCCTGTGGTGCCTTTTGATGGAGCTGAATGTTACAGCCAGCAAACATCACCCTCAATTCCTAAATACTCGGCCCGTGTTTGAGAATTCCAGCTGAATTCCCACGTTTCTGTTTAAGTCCAGGGTTACCCGTATCCCACTTCCAACATCATCTCTGGTGTCCTCAGCTACCAAGGCACTGTGCAGCTATTGCTAAATACGGCAGCAGCCTCAAAACTAAAAATACCACCAAGACAAAATTAAATGTGCAAGAAGTTACAGTGTGCTGGGACCACGCCAGAGCAGCACGGACTGGGACAGGAGGAACCGCAGGCAGGGAAAGCGACAAGCACATCCAGCAAGCTTCACACGTGTGAGGTTCTGATGCCTGGAGCAGAACGGGAGAGTGGCCGACCAGCAAGCACCGACAGGAGGTACGGGAGGAGGAAAGCGGGTGTTTTGGGGCTGAGTGGAGATGAGCACGTCAGCTCTGGGACTATTGAATGTCAGGCTAATGGGTGGCAATGGGACATCCCCGGGGTGCTGGGCAATCCCATCCCAACCCCATAGTAGGAGGAAACCAAAGGGAAAAGCTTTCTGCTGCTATTTCTAAACGTGAGCACTTGGGTGCTGTCTCGCACTGTGTGCTGGTGGGGCAAGCCAAGGGGACAACAATAATGGGGAGGGATAGAGCAAATCCAGGGGGAAGAGGAACCAACCTGTGCGATTCTCGTCAAAGAAACTCATCTCCTGAGCCACCAGCGACCTGAAGAGGCAGTTGCGGAGGCGAATGTTCAGTCTTGCAAATATGAGTGTAAAAACGCCGCCGCGGATACCTGCGGCAAATGAGCTAATTGCAGATAAGAAACGTTATAGACCAATGGACACGAAACCCAGCCCCAGCAACACAAACACCCCGACGCCCAGGCCAAGGGCTTGGTACCACTTTCCAGCCTGGGAAGTGATGGCTAAACCAGCCCACACCTCTTCTGGGTGCTACCAGCATGGGGATGGCTGGTCCTAACCCTCCTAGTGATAAACTTCCAGAGAGGACACTGCTGCTGGGACAGCATTCCTCTGGAAACCCATTCCCTGTGTCTGCTCCTGTTGCCCCACCACCAGCACACGGATGTGGAGGGCTACACAAAGGCCTCACGAGTATCACCACAGCCTCTCTGCACTGGGATAGCACAGAGAAATCAAAGTACATCCCTGGCAGGGACTTGGTGGAGTGGCTGCAGATGGAACAGCCCGTGCCCACTGCCACTTCGAGCTCCTATGGGAAAACCCCAAACTCCTCCTATTCAGAGCCAAAACCAGCCCCTGCAATTACCTTCCTATGGCGAGGAGCGACATGACCAGCACTGCTGTGGAGAAGCGGTCCATGCTCTTCTGCACCACGATACCATCAATGGCCAGCCCGGTGTAGTAGGGCAGGAAGGTCTCTCCTGCCAGACAAGCACAGGACATGGGGTTTGAGTGTTTCAGCACAGGACTGGTATTCCAACTGCGACAACCCCATACCCACCACAGAGATACTCAGCCACCACATGAGATGTCTCAGGAGATGCAGCCCTCAGTGGTGCGTGGGGATGCTTCATTTCCCAGTGTATTTTATCCCCTATTGCCTTTTTTTATCACCCCATTGCATTTTTTATCCAGTCTGTGCAGGACATGCAACCCAGCACCCCCAAAAATCAATTCTGGGGTGCTGTTAAGCGCCCCCCCCCATGGCTCCCTCCTTCCTGGTGAGGAGGGGAGCACACCACAGCTCCCCCCAGCCCCTTCACTCACCCAGTGCGGCCACGAGGAGGAAGAAGGAGGCAATGCCCAGGAAGAAGGCATCTGGCTTGGTGTAGGACAGCAGTTTATGGATGGTGGGACCCGCCGCCTCCTCCCGCTTGTCCCGTTGGGCGACCCCATCACAGCTCTCCTCTGCCTCAGCACGGGCCTCGGAGCCCGGGCACAGCGCCTCTCGGGAGGAGGTGACACAAGCCAGTAGCTGCCACAGCCCGAAGGTGGCCGCCAGCGCCACGTAGGTCCAGGCAAAGAGCCCCCAGAACCAGGGGTCCCTGATGGTCCTCCGCACCTCCGAGTAGAGCAGCAGCTTCACCATCATGTAGATGCCCATGAGGAGGCAGATGATGGTGATGAAGGTCCGGGATGCCCTGAGGCGCCGGGGGCCGTAGGCTGTGTTGGTGGCCACCCCGATGGCAGCGCCCAGCAGCACGCAGCTGCGGTAGAGGCAGCCCCCCCAGATGTCCAGCAGCGAGTTGAAGATGTTGAAGTGCCGCAGGTCCTGCAGGACATCCTGGCCACTGCGGCCATGGGTGTAGAGCAGTGTGGTGACCACCACATCAGCCCCACTGAGCACCAGCGTGCTGGCCACTGCCTTCCAGGCGCGCATCCTTGATGCTGGGCTGGGGGTCACCAAGGCAGCGAGGGGCACCTCTAGCACAGAGGGGATGTGGTCATTTCAGCTTCTGCTGCAAAGCAAGAAGAGGGGGATGAGGTTGCTATTCACCCTGGGGAAACGGTGGGGAAAGGGAAGCAAGATGGGAGGACAACCATACCAGCCCATCCTGACCCCAAGCACCACTATCTACTCCTTCCTCTCCTCCTCTACTGCACACATGCCAAAATACTTCATAAATGAGAAGCACAAATGAAGATGTTTCCCTCCCAGATGCCTGAATCCCAAAGCAGAAATCTGCAGAGCTCAGTGGGAATCTGCATCCCTGCTTGCTGCTGTGGGGCCAGCCAGGAGGTCCCCGGCAGCTGGGTGGTGCTGGGACATCTGTCCTGTGCTATGGGGCTGTGAACGTGTTAAACTCGGATATCTGTGATCTGAGACTCCCTCTTCACCCTTCCCGGCACAAAGCTGAAGCTGAGCACTCAATCCAAACCACATGAAAGCAGGAGGGAGAGCAGCTCGGCTTCGTAACAGAGTCCCCAGCAGCAGAAGAAGAATAATCATAGGTACAGCAGCCTGTCACACGTTGCCCTCTGGAATATTCACTTGGGATAACCCACCAAATCCCCCGTGGTGCCAGTGTGCAGTTCAGCCACACAACAGAAATCCCAAGAGATTAAAAAGGGCTTGGAAATCCATAACAGCATCCCATGGGAGAGGGAGGCTCTGGGGTAGGATGCCACCTTTGCTGTCACCCATGGGTCTGACTGGTGGCAGCGATGGTGGGGCAGGATCTGAACTAACAGCGAGAAAGGTGAAAGGCTCGACTTTGTTTAAATCTCACCTGCACCATGTCCAGAGGTGCCACGTGTGGGCATGAGGGAGGTACCTGACCCTTGGATTCGTGCTGGCCAAGCAGCCCGTGACGGTGCATGGCACGAAGGGACGGCACAAGGATGCCATGCGCTGGCCATGCACCGGCTTGTGACCGCAGCCACCTCTGCAGCCACCCGAAAGCAAACCATGGGGAAAAGGGCACCTCCCAGCCCCGGCCAAGCAGCACCCATGGCCGGGAGCATCACGGTGGCTGGATGAAAGGACAAAAAGTGGAGGAAAACGTGGCAGAGGCTGCAATTTAGGGAATAAGGAAGGTTTGCGGGATGTGTGGGGAAGGAGGGATGGGGGCAAAGCGGAGCAGCGGTGTCAGGGAGGAGCTGGACACGCTTCCCAGGGTGCTCGCTGCTGCC